TCACGAAGTGAATTGGCTTGTTTTACAACGTCGTTGCCAAGCGACGAAAACCCAACCCCGATGGCAAACACCGGGGGGGGCGGCTTGTTTTACAACGTCGTTGCCAAACGACGAAAACCCAACCCCGATGGCAAACAGGGGGGGGCGAGGGGGGGGGGTTGAAGTACGGTGGACATTGGGGGGAAGGTCGCGAAAAGCGGACAAAAGGCGCGAGGGAGAGGGACATGACTGGCAGGAAGAAGCCACTAAAACACTTTATTTTCTGTTTTTCGTGCTTACAACACATCATACACGACGGCACCACAGGAGGGCGCCGGCAAAAAGAAACAAGACCCTCATCCTGAAAAATACACAAAAAGACTTGGCTAACATCATGTCGGAAGCCTGAGACGCAAGAGCTCAACCATTGTTGCACTCTAAGAGCAAGACGTTATTTTCGGTGCATCAGTTCGCGGTCGCCTTGAGAATTTTTTTCGCAGGCTGCTGCCCGCTGCAGCCGCTGCAGCGGGCCAGTCTCTGGATCACAGCGCCACTGTCGCGAGCTCGAAACTCTAAAGGCGAGTAGAGTTACAACACGGTTAATGCACGCAACCACTATCTCAGTCATTGAGCTAGACGTTGCGGTGCGGTAAATCGGTTTTAATTGTATTTTCATGGGGATTAAACACTTTTTTCGGCCGTCTTCACCGACGTGGGCGTGCCACTCTCACGATCACAGCGCCCCTTTCGCGAGCTCTAGACTCTAAGGGCGAGCCGAGTTACAGCACCGTGAAGTACGACTAAATCTCCTGCATCCGGGCGCGTCTACGGTAGGGACTGTCACCTCAAAGCATCACGCAGCCCATTGGACGAGATTGTGGAGAACGTCAACTCATTAGACTAGTCATGACCGGCCACCACCACGTTTCAACCGTTGTTGTTACATGTAGTAGCACCGACGGCGGATTTTATTGTAATTGTGCGGCGTGTTGTTAACTATTTACATGTACACAGACTGCTGTCGCCACCTTCTCCACGTAAGCAACGCTAACTGAATCAATTCCAGGTCCTCACGTGCATCGTGTATCTTCACGTACGTGCACACGGCAACGTATATGATGTATGCCTGAAATACACACACACCCTCCAAGTGGCAAGTACAGGGCTACTGCTGCTGTAGAAAGGAATTGAACAGGGTTAGTTAACTTTATTGTTGTGGTACGCCAAAGCTGGCTTGTGCTTGGAGTTTTCGAACATGCAGCATGCACATCTCACGGAAACTGTCAACGACGCTGTAGACTATAGTAGTATTGAAGATGCTGCCGTAGCCTACACAATCATATTATAGTAGACTGGTGAACGGTAGAGAGAATACGTACGTTTGTTGTGCGGTGTGCCACTACAAGTACGTACGTAAAATCCCAGCCTGTCCTCCACAAGTGAACGGCAGATATAGATAGATACTTCGAAGTTCATAACACTTTGCACATTTCGTGGATACCACAAGCATTTATTTAGTGGAATATTTCTTGGAAGTTAGTCAGAAGTTAGTCGGTACAAAGCGCGAAAGCGTGACCTTTTCGTGGAATTCTTAGTTGGTCTGCATAACGAATACTCTGAGGCAAGGTTGCAATAGTACAGGTAGGTCTGCTACTGTAGGAAGGAACTTGGACACGGTCTGTTTTATTATGGTTTGTTTGTTGTTGTACGCCACAGCTCGTCCTAAAGTAGTTTCCAATTTCGCGTTGTGTTTTGAGTTTTCGAACATCACATGCATTGCATGCACATCGTGAACATGCAAGGAAGATTGTTCTTTTTCGTCTTCTGCTGCAATACTGTCAACGACACGCTGAGGGTATTGAGGGTGCTGCTGTAGCCTCTATACACTACAGTACCTTATAGAGGTGAACGTCTTTCCAGCTTCGTGCCTTTGGTATCCTGTGCACAGTCTTGACCTACCACCCTTCGTTTCAGCGAAATACTGAGCTGAAGGCGCGAGGGCGCCTGGCGCCCGAGCCTGGAGACCTTGTATCTATAATGTTTCGTACAACACGCGGCGGCACGATAGGAAGTCGCCGTAAAAAAATCCAGACCCATACACGATGAAAAAAACACGAAAAAAAAACAGGAACAGTAGTATTATTATTATTATTATTATTATTAAAATTATATTATTACCCGGAAATACACGCACCTGTCTCACGAGGACACACAGCGTGGCCACAAGCGTGACCCTGTCTACGTCATCCCTGGCCGCGGCGAGCCTTCCCCCGTCACCCGCAAGCGTTTCCGGGAGCACGCCACCCGCAGCGGCGGCGGCAGCGTCGGGGCGATCGAGCCGGACCGTCGATCGTAGCAGGCCGATGAACGCCTCCTGTAGAACGGCCTTGTGGAGCTCCTTGGGGGGTGTAATTGATATTTGTGGTTGCAAAGGAGAGGAGGTTGTAGGGAGAACGTGGTCGGCAAGGGAGAATTTCCGCACGACGAAGTGCTCTAGAAGCGTCCTACTACGTGTGCATTGTGCTAAACTACCTTGTCAAGGAACATTTTCAAGTCTCAATTATCTTTTCATAGAGCGAGTGCGCATGGAGTTGCGCGGAACCATACATTATTTTCATTTCCTGTCAGTTTGCGGTCTAGAAAGGAGCGTTGAGTTTAGCTCCCTTTCGCAGTCTCACGCTTAACGTTCACGACAACGACACATCCGGTGTGGACCCCAGTTGAACACGTCGTGCCATTCTTGTTTCGCGTCTGTCTTCGCTGCGAATTCATTTCACAGAGCACGCCCGCACGTACCCAGGAGTTGAAGCTGAAGGTGTTGTAGTGAGCCTCGAAAATACATTTGCTTCATAACTTGAGCACCATTTGTGAGCTCGGCGAAGAACCCCTACACTAAACCTATATAGTAGCCATTCGTAGCATGACCCTAGGAATACATACAGTAAGAACCCCGCCCTCGGCCGAAACTAAAAAATAATAGAGGTTCTTTAGTGCGGGCGCGTTCTGTACTGCCCACGAAAGCGGAGCAGCTGCTGGCACCCTTTCGGGGCGTTGGGAAGTCCTCATGTCCAACGGGTCTTTTTGTGCATACCACCGCGTAGAGGGCGCTCAGTACCTTGAATCTTTGTCGAGAGTGAAGGCTTGCTTCTACAGAAGAAGCTATGGGAAGAGCAAGTTGATAGCACATGCTTTGCCGCAACGACGGGAAACAATAAAAAAAAACGGGTCAAACACAATTTATATATGCCAAGAAGATAATTTCTGCTCTATGCAGCAACCTCGGGCTGAACAAGAATTAAACGGACGGACAAAACTACACCATAAAGTACCAGGTACTGTCCATCTAATCACCACCCGGAACGGTGTAACATCACGCGGGGTTACCACCATCGACATCAATTGGTGGCCATGGGGTTACCCCCATGAGGTTATTCCCATGGACAGGGGGGGCTTTCGATAGTAAGCAAGGGTGGGGTGGTTCGTTCTGGTCTGATCTGTTATTAAATAACAAGGTCTGCTAGACAAATATGTATACCTCTCGGCCGTCGCGAAGCCCCTTTGCGCGACGAGCTCGCTCTTCCTCGTCCCCCGTCCCCCCATCCCCCGCATCCCCGCCAAGAAACCGTTGCACCGCGGAGGAAAGCCAGGCTTTCGTTCGCTCGAGGGAGACGTCGCCACTTGACAAGCGTGCCTATTACAGTCATATTCGGAGGTATTCAGAAAGGGGTGTTGGTTGGGGGAACGCGATACCTTGCACGACTGCACGACTGGGAGGGATGGAATACGACGAGGCCCTCGCACCGCCGAGGCGGCAGGGGTAAAGGAGAACATGCGATAGTTGGGTACTTTGACAAGAGTGCCTGGTGAGCCAAAAATCACGGAAAAATCTGTCTCTGTCTCTGTCTCTGTCTCTGTCTCTGTCTCTGTCGCCTTTCCCTTTCGGTCTGTCTGTTTGCCTGTTTGCCTATTGTCTGCCTCTCTCTCTCTCTCTCTCCTTTCTCTCTCTTGGCCTGTCTGTATGTCTTGTCTCTCTCACGCTCGCTCTCTGCTATCTCTTTTCTCTCTCTTCCGTGGCTTCTCCGGTTCCCTGCCACAGGCACTCAAAAGACAGGACAAAATATGCTCGCTAAACAACAGCATTTGTTGCTTTATGACAACCGCATCGAAAAAAAAACATCCTTTCTATTACGTCTTGGTAGCGGTAGCACCAGCAAACAAAAACAACGCACCTCAAACTTGGCCCGTTCGTAGGGGGCCCCGTGCCGTGCGAGGTACGGGGCGATGAGACGGATGTGCGCGTTGGCCGTGTCGCGTTTGATCTCCTCCATCTGAGCGAACACGAACTCGAACACTCGAGGGAGCAAGGGGATGATAGCCAGCGGATCCCCGGATGCTATTGCCGCCTCCATGCTCGCATCGAAACCCTTTTTTGTTTTTGTTTTTAAGCGAAACGAGGGGAGTTTGGGTCAGGACAAGAGAGACGGTAGTGGCTGCAGAGAATTACACGGGCAACGCGAAAAAGTAATTTATAATACTGTAAACTAACAGCTTTGACGACCGCCACCACCAGCTTCACCCATCGAAGTTTTTGTGTGGTCCGTGTACATCAGTTCCAATATCCAGAATTTCCTTTTTTGAGTGAATCCGATTCAAGCAACAAACCATCAGGCATGCTGATGGAACCACATAGAAATTGGCCATCTGAGACTACGGCAATGTGGCAAGATCTTTTACCCTTCGCCGTAGGAAATAACACTCTCGGGTGCTACTTGGAGGGAACAGAGAGAGAGAGAGAGAGAGAGAGAGAGAGAGAGAGAGAGAGAGAGAGAGAGAGTATTTGTGGGCAAAGAGGCAGAGACCACGATGAAAGCAGAGACACTGGGATAGGAGTTGCGCAGAAAGGTGTCGGCGGGAAAGGTGCTCTGCCAGGTTGGTAGAACATCTCTCCTTTCCTCGGGGTTTAGAAAAAGAAAAAAAGGTAAAGAAAAACAGCAGTTCCGACACAAAGCACATAGATTATCAATGCAGCAGCTGCTGCAGCAGATTAGAGTGACAGAGAACCTACGGCAGCGACCAAGCCCGTTTTCTCGCCTTGAGCCAAGCCCTAGCACCGTCCGAGCGAACGGGGGCCTGCAGGTTCAGAATCCTCCCCGCGATGAACCCCACCAGTCCCTGCGTCGGACGTTCGTGTGATACAGCACGGCGAGGAGGAGGAGGAGGGGCATTGGGGGGTGTAATCGTGTTGTAAACGCATGCCGTAGTCCCGAGATAGGCCATTGACCTTGCGCCAATGCCGGGACGGAGCGATACTCCGGCGGCCCAGGCTACACTTTCCCGTTTTGTGAGTTACAAGATGCTTGGAGCGGTTTCAGAAGCGGCGAAATCGTGTCTCGTGCTGTTGTCGTCGTCTTCATGCCACAACACTCTTTCGATCTTGACCTATTGCGTCCTGATTCTCCGCCCACGCTGCCATCAACCACTAACCTGCACTTGGCGCGCGTCAAGGGTCTTGTCCCGCAGCATCTCGGCCAGGCGCTCTTGCGACAGGACCGCCCGCACCTCCCCGACGAGGACGGAGTTGTTCGGAGTCAGCGACACTAGCTCCTCTCGAACCTGTTGTTGTCGTCGTCACCGTCATTGTTGTTGTTGTTGTTGTTGGTGTTGTTGTTGATATTGGTTGGTTTTAACGCCAACAAGGCGACAGACCACAGAATAGCATTGTTATTTTTTCTTCTCATTACAAACCGTTCCGATCTCTCTACCCAGTGCCTTCATCTATCCGCACTTATCAAACACATGACCGAGCGATTCCCGTGGTCACAGGCTAACTTACTTAACAAAGGTATACTCAAATGAAATGCACCCGAAGGGTCCGCAAGCCAATTTATGTCAGCGACAGATAGTCTGGAGTCCCCCGCTCCCCTCTACACACACGCCACGTGAGACAGAAATGAAGTGGAAATCCGTATCACCGGCCTGAGAAAGAGATGTATACCTGGTTCAATCTTGGGACTGAGAAACAGAGAAGAAAAAGGCCATCCGGGGGGAGCATAATCGAAATTAATCCCCAAGCGGTGTTGTTGCTGTTGTTGTTGTTATTGTTGTTGCTGTTGCTTTTTGTTAACGCCAACAAAGCGACAGTCCACAAAATGGTACAATCGAAATCAATCACGACGCGGTGGCGAAAAATAACGCGGACCTCGTGTGCCTATAGCGGGCCCCGCACAGATCGCAGGCGACGCCTGTGGACCCCAGATGAAGTGCAGACGGTGGCATCGAGACGAAAGCCACAGTAGCAAGAATGGTTGTTGCATTTACCCCCTCCTTCCTCTCTTACACACGTGGAGGGAGCAAAGAAAAAGTGATCGACACCTGTCTGGTAAGCCGCTGCTCTGCGGCCTGGTTTATCATACGACAACACCTCTCGCAAACGAACCACGAAGCACAGCTATCTTCTTATTTTCGTCGCCTCTTGATCGACCCGACCAGGCATGCGACGAACGAAGAATTCCTCTCACAACAGCCCCCCCCCCCCCCCCCCCCCCCCCCCCCCCCCCCCCCCCCCCCCCCCCCCCCCCCCCCCCCCCCCCCCCCCCCCCCCCCCCCCCCCCCCCCCCCC